TGTGGGATATCAGTGTTTGACCCTGAGTTTTCATCTTAATGGTTTCCACAGAGCCGGCCAACCTAGGCAAACACACTAACAAAGGAACTCAATTCTGGATCTTATCAATAATTCAGCGGACGAATACAAAAATACATCCAAAAAGGTGTCACCAAGCTACTCCCGACACCTAGGACAAAAATGTGAATCTGGCAGTGTGCGCTGAAATCAAAATGACCTCATAAATCAGAGTTTACATCTGAACAGCAGAGTGTACAGCTGAAACAAAAGCTGCTCGTTTTTTACCGTGCACACACTCTGTTGCCAGATTATTAGTCCTCTTAAAATAATGAAGTCTCATATAACAACTATAAATAATCAGTGATGCTAGACAATGTCATTAATTATCAGAAACCCCTCTTATTATTACATCTCAGACTCATTGGAAAATACAGCCAGCACCAAGCAGTTTCAGCAAAAACGGATAACTGTGACTTGAGGAAGGTGCTGGGTATTTCTGGGCTGTTATTAGACTTGCATTACAATGACATACGAATGAATAGTTTGAATTAGAGTTTATTAATTTTTTAAGCTTCTAATTTATCATGTTCATTTTTTAAAAAGTAGAGTGGAAATTGTAATGTTTCGCCCTCTGAATGAAGTGGAAAAGAAGCACAAATCAGGTTTGCGCTTCGGTACAGTCCTTCATACGACTGCTGAGTGTGTGATATTGAGTTGGAAACTGAGTGTATAAAATCACCTTAAAGTTGTTCAAAGGTGGCCCCGGGAGGAACCGGAATATCTCTAAGGCTTAAAGGCTGTCAGCTGTACTTTCTGTCTCTCTCTCCAAACATTTCCCTTTAGATCTTTGTCTGTTTTCTTGTCTACAGCACACTTCGTGCATCAACTGTCTGGATGTCAGTCAATGTCACGTCTCTCAAAATTTCCTAACCTGACAATCACGCATATACACACGCTGAAGAACTGCGCAAAAGCACACTCTGTATGCAGAGTGCTGACTGTTAACCTTTAAAAGCCCGAGGTGTCATTAGAGTAAAAATGTGATACTCTGTCTCTGCATATAGGTGACGAAACCAAGTGAGGAGTGTTCATGGAGAGAGAAATAATACTAATAATACTAATAATGTGGCCTGTTGCTGAGCTGAAGGGTGACAGGTCTCAGCTGTTTCCAGCCCTGCTTTCATGTTTGAAGCCTCTTATCCATTAGATTTTTTTACGGGCTGAGAACAAAGTGAGTGACAGGGTGACATCAGTGACCCAAAGAACCAGTTTGACTAAAGCAGCAGGATGACACTGAACAGATCGCAAAGAGCTCCAGCCAACTATTTATGAGCTGCTCACTGAATCCTGCAAATCTGTCAGAAGCAGAAGGGGAACGGTCTTTTGTATGGTGGTAAATTAAAGTAGGCACTCAGGGTACTAGCTCTGAGTATCATAAAGCACTTATATAGAGTGTGCTATCACTGAAAACGCAGTGATTCAATATAAATTCTTAAAACTAAGACAGCAGCATATATGTTGTTGCAGTAATGTTGAAACACAAGAACAACAGCAGCAGCAGCAGGAATCCTGTCATGTACTGTTCCCACTGTCTACAGCAGAAACAGCTGGGTTCAGTAACCCACCATTCAGCGAAACTAGCAGCAGCCAGGGGGGTAAAAAACACACACACACACACCTTCATGTCTGCTTTTAACATCCATTCATTATCGCCACTGATCAAGTTACACAGTAAGCTTTTGGACAAAAAAAGCAACAACCCACCTTTTACAAGCCTCCCGAATTTCCTTTTCATCTACAGGAGAATCAACCATTACTATCGCGTCCGTGCTTTCTCCTATTATTGAGCAAGCATCCATCCTCCTCCCGATCCGCCTTTTTTTTTTCTGATTATTTAAAGAAATTATAAATCCCTTCTAATATCAGATTGGGTTGACTAAACAGTTAATTTTCTATCTGCCAGGACTGAGTCCACGAGGATCAAATGCTTGTTTCTGGGGCTTCTACTACAGAGCAGCAGTAGGGCTGTTTGGGTTAATCTGCCCCGAGCTGCGCTCTGATTGGCGGAGCCCCGGTGATGCTGAGGAGGCTGTATGGTCGCTGTCCAACTGGCCGCGGTGCTGGAGCACCGAGTGAAGGGTGGTGAGCCTCGGTGGCTGATTAAGCGGCTCAGACAGGAGCTACAGCTGCTCATTATGAAGGTGCACAGGCAGAGATGCTGCACTCAATTGAAACAACAGCTAACTGCTGCTGATCACAGCAAAGCTGAGCATAAATCACCGCCGGGTGAAATACTCTCCTTCTTAACGATTTAAAAGGAAGGGACTAAGACAATCAGTACATTATTCATTAATTTTAAATAATGACGTGCTTTAGTTAGAGGAAAACACTTAAATGCATGTTTTTACTAGAAATGTAAGTGGAAATTGCACCAGTCAGTTAGAATGTATAAAAAAGATTTAAGCCCTGTCCCTTCATTGTCTTTGCTGCATTACAGTAATCAAGGATGCTTTCATAAATTATGTATGAAGAGGTTTGCAACCAGCGGTTACATTAACACCATTTGGGACAGTGATGATTCATAGATCAGTAATTAGCCGTTAATAACAGCACCTTTCATTCTTGACAGATTTTGAGAAATCTCTTTTAGTGGTTTGATACCAATGCTAACTTGATGTATCAATTAGCTCCAAATAATGAATTATTAAAACATCCAGATGTTTATGACTCATCGGAATGAAAGAAAAGCGTTGTGGCATAACGTATGCAATCATTATCACTGAAATTAAAAATAAACAAATACATGCGAATAATATTCCTAAAGATTAGGCTCAGCTCCTACTTTTAGGCTCGGTTTAAATAAACCTGTGACTCTGTCTGTCCTTTAAATTATCTTCATATCAGTCTCGTGGAGTCTTTCAAATACCTGGAAGGTATTTTGCTTGATACCTGACTCTCTTTTAAGATTCAGTTTCAGCATCTGGCCCAAAAGTTAAAAATGAAATTAGGATTTTTGTTCAGAATAGCAGGAAGATGTCTGTCTTCCTTTGTCTTTGACAATGACAATTCAACACTATGATACTGCTCTAAAGACGTTTACTAGTTGAACCCTATTTACTTCCTTAAAGTTAAGAACAAAACATCCATCTAGAGCTCCTCTTTCACAACTCTCAATTAAATCTTATAACAACAATTCAAGACAATAGCTCAATTTATAGGTCTGGTTTTTGACCTGGAGTTCTTTTAAATACCTGTGTTGTTGCCTGTAAAGGACTCACCGGCCTTACTCTATCATCATTACACACTGTTATCAGAATAACCTGCACCAGGTCATCCTGATTTGTGTGCCGTAAAATCCTGCCAGTTACAAATGAAGACTTCCTAAATAAGAATAATCATAGCTGAGTAAGTAGGGAGTGCAGCTATATACGTTGTGTAGAATGTAAAAATCAGTATTTGGTGTGGATTTTACATACCTCAGTCTGTGGAGCTGTTATTGATTAGAGAGAAGAGAAGAGAAGAGAAGAGAAGAGAAGAGAAGAGAAGAGAAGACAAGAGAAGAGAAGAGAAGAGAAGAGAAGAAAAGAGAACTAGCCAAAGCCCAGCAGACTCAAAAGAAAGGAGTGACTGTGACACAGCAGACCTGTGTGAAAGTGTGCTAATGAGGCGGCCGCTGGTCTGGATCTGGTTATAAATATGAATCATGGCAGTGGGTGCTTGTCTGTGAGAGGCCACCGCTGAGAGGGGAGAAGGGAATAATTTATTGAAAGAAAGCCAAAGATCAAGAAAAGGAGGCTGTGAGAAAGTTTTGTAGGAGAGATGAAAAGTCTCGTTTTACGGCTTTAAATCTGAAAGCGTGGCCCATTTATGTCTGTTATAAGTGATTCATGATGGTCAGCACTGATTCATACTAGGTTAAACAAACTGTGAAAGTCATAGATGAGGGGGTGCGGCTGTTTAAATCTGATCTGACTTAAGATCTGTCTTTAAAAACGTAGTGTTCAAATATGTGTTTGTGAATCGCTGGCCTCACATTGAACAAAAGCCTGCTGGCGTGGAGTTTTCTGATCCACCTGTGTGGCAGCTGACATTGCTAATGCCTTGTTGACTTCAGGCACTGATTAACTTACTGTTTAACTGCTCAGCATGCCACAAAAACACACACACACACACACTTTCTTTCTCTCTCACATACACACACACACAATGGGGTGGGGTGGGGGGAAAGCCACACAAATACCCACATAATGCAGAGCCTGACAGACTTGTACTGGATACCAGACACACATGTATAATGAGAGGGTTTGGCTTGAGGCTGGTACTGAGGTGACAGCCATGGTAATTTCCTGTGGCAGATTTCTGCCAGTGAACGGGGACGGGAAGGGAAACGCTTCATTAAAGCTTCAGTGCTGTTTCGAGATCTGTTGCATAAACACATTCGGCTCAAAACAGAGATGCAAGCAGAAATATGGCTTAAAATATGGCGTGGAAACAAAGAGCGAAGAAGAAAATAGTGCGTGTCTGTTTATTTTCATCGTCGAGTTGATAGAAACACGTTGTTGTTGAGTAGGGAACACAAAGGTGTTTTGCTGCCACCTATTGGGCAGATTGTGTAAGTGGTTGAATTGTTTTTACCTTTATAATTAAAATAAATCAATCAATAAATAGGCCTATAGTACCCTACGCGTTGTCTGTTTATTTGAGGTATATGCTTTAGTGCCATTCCATACATAAAATCTACGCGTTTCAATACTCTATACTCTCAACTTTTTTTCTTTTCTTGTGTCTTTTAAGTAAATATTTTCATTAGTTTTCATGACTTTCTTCAGATTAACTCCATGACTGCTGCTGTAAAATCAGCCACACTGTGTGACAACGCGAGGTCGAGCTCTCCTGCAAAGCTGTCCGGCGGGTGTAAAGTTACGAGCCGGCAGGACACACCTCTAGAGGGAGTTCCCGGGGAGGTGGAAACAAGGAGCCGATCGTTCCTTCCTGCAGAAAGTCAGGAGTCCTTTCACTTGAGAGGGCGATTACCTCCGCCGGCGGCTGTGCGTCTTGGCAGCTGTAGCCGTGCCATCAGAGGGAAAATGCCCGGGATGGGCAACTCTTTACGCGCGGCTGCCCTCCTGGCTTTCGTGGTTCTTTCAGTTCTGGTGACGCTCCTGATCAGCAGCGTGCAGCAGTTTGGAGCAAGAATCTCGCACTTTTCCACCGCACCTTCTGGTGATGACGAGGAGTTAGCGTCGCTCCGCGAGGAACTTATTCACCAGCTCAACGAGAGGCGAAAAGAAATTATTCCGCTGCTTTCACCTGGTGTTGGTGATGATGATGAAAACGGACTGTTAGGAGAAAGTTTTTCCCAGCGTGACTCGACTTTGGATTACAGTCTGTGGAATGAGATCACAGTTGGCTCCCGGAAAGCGCATCTGGATGAAATGGGTTGTGATTCCCTGGCCGACATGCAGGCGGTGGAGATCCTCGGATCGGGATACACCAAGCTGGTTGTCAAAGTGAATCTAGCCGGGGAATCTGAGCCTGTGGCGCTGAAACTCGTCAACGAGCAGGGCATAGACATGGGGAAGTGCGTGGAAGACTTTAAAGATCCTCGGGGATGTCGCGAACTCGTTTCATTCAAGCTGAGGAAAGAAATGGTCCTTCTCCAAAGACTCCAGCATCCGAACGTCATTAAGGTAAAGTTTCCTCTCCCTCTGCTTTGAGGGTTTGTTTTTTAATCAGTTTAAATTGTTAAGTTGCAAGTTCAAATGCTAAAACAGCGTTTAGTCTGCGTCTTTCTCCGTGTTTATTTAAGGGCCATGAAGTTTCAGAGGCTACTGTTGACTTCTGAGCGTTCCAGCTGGGGAAACTGGATAAAGTGAAGATTTTCCATAATCCTCGCACTACAGCTCACATTTTCCTTTGTTTCACACACACTGAGCTGCGTGAAAGGTTGCTGCAGGGCCTTCCCATCTAATTAAATTAAATTCGGTGACCCTCCTCTGACCTTTGGGTCCAGTTTAGCGAGAGCAGACAATGTGACTCTGTCCTCCTCTTCTATCCAGGGTTGCATCTGAAACCCCCCGGCGTTTATTCACTCAAACCATTACAGCCCAATTTAGAAGAAGTTTGAGCTAAACCGAGGGGTTTCTTTCTCGTGTCCTGCAGTCGTGTGACAGCCCATGTGATGCATTTCAGAGATGTGCTGGATTCTCTTGGCTATAATGTAATTTTTCAAATTTTTATCACAAGTCATAACTGCTAGAGCGAGCTCGATGACACATTGTATGCAATCTTTGCTCAAAACCTTAAAGAGACTTTAACCTGTTGCTTTCTCTGAATTAAAATGCAAGAAACAAACAGTAGCATGATCTACCCTGCTTTTCTTTATTGTACTGTGGCTTAACCTAGTTATTTTCCACTCTGCAGCTGAAGGGTCACTGTGCTGGGGGCCCAGGAGGAAGAGAAGGAGAGGCCGAAAGAGTCACAGTCATTCTGGAGCAGGGGAGCCCTCTCCAGATGATCCAGCTGCTCCAGAGCCCCTGGGAGGACAGATTCAGAGTAAGCACCACAGCGTGTTTTGTCATTTATCTCATACACTGCAGACGCACTGGGAAGTTAGAGGTATCTGTTTCACACTTACTGTGCACAGAGCATGTGCAGGCTATTGTTCAAGTCTGCAGAAAAGGTGAAGGTTGAAAAATGACGGAGGCCGATGTTGGAAACTCCTGGAGGTCGGGCATCTGTCCCTCGGTCCATTTGATCAGGCTGAGGTTTTGAGTCGTGATGGGCCCTGGAGTTAATCCACTTATGGCTGGGAATGTCATTTCATCCCAGACACACACACTTAGATGCACACATACAGCTTTAGCACAACCCCCCTCCGATCACAGGTATGCTCCACAGTGGAAGCCAACAAAGGCTGAATTTACACTCCAGGGATTCAGATATGCTCGCCTTCGCGCATGGATGTGTTTGAAAAGGAGAGTGGTTGGAAAGGGGGGGGG